TTTTTTATGGTAAATGCAAAATACTACGTTATAAAGAGTCACCTGTCTGGGAGCTGCGCAAGCAGACTGAATAAAGCTATAGCAACAGCCTTTAATTATTTTAAAAAATTTAAAAAAAAAAAAAAAAAAAAAAAAAACAGTAATAACAAATCCTTAAAACTGTAATTAATGGATATGGTAAGAGTAGTGGTCTTTTATGAGGCCATTGCTCCACCTTGGACATGGACTCAGGAAAAAAGTAGATTCTACTGTAGAAACAATTGATGCAATTGAGTCTTTGATTCTTCATGGTGCCCTGCAGACAACCTGCAGTTTGCAGGATAGGAATGTTGACTTTTTATTGTATTAAATGATTGTGACAAATACAGATATTCATTCAGTATATTGCATCCTACTGTTTTCATGAAACTGATAATCACAGCAGTTACAGTGGGTATTATGCATCCAGTGCTATTGGATCCAGCAAGCCTTCTGTTGAGACAGCTCTGTGTTAATAGGCAGCAAAGATTTGGAGCCTTTTATTTGTCTGAGTTGGTTTTCTCTTGCTTATTTTTTTTCCCCCTGATCTGTTCAGATGACAACCTCATCAGTTACTATGCCACAGAAGGTGGTATAATTCTGTAGAGTCTAGTAGGCAGAGTACTGTTTCTAAACTTGAATCTAAAGAAATTTGGGGGGGGTGTTGGGGACTTGCATAACAGTAGAAACAAATGTAAAATGTCACTCCAATTACTAAATTATGAACTAAACCAATAGAAAACTGTGGACAAAGAATAGAAAGAAAAGTACACAACCTGGTAATGTGGGAATCACTCTTCAATCTTCCCCTTTTGACAGAGTGTAAAGGGTTGGATCCCTGGTTGGTGTTAGTCATCCCAGTACCTGGGTCAAAAGAGCTGCCACAGTTTCAGGCCATAAGCTGGTAACAGCTCAGCTGTATTGGGTTTGTGCATGGTAGAAATAAGAACGTGCCCCAATTTCTTTTCTGCAAGAATAAAAGATGTCACAAAAAAACCAAACCAACCTGCAAAGCAAACAATCCTTGAATCTTACTTGCCATTTATTAGTATTTAACCATGCAGTTTTCTTCTTACAGGAATATTTCTGGGAAGAGAAGACTGAAATCTCTGTAAATTGTTTGCATGAGTACTTGCACATTATTTTGTGTACTCATGCGTGATTCAAACCGTGCAGTGAGCTACAGGTGGATACTGTATAGGTTGGGAGGATGGACATGAAGTGGTTGGTGACTGAATTGGCTGCCTTAAAATTGTCAATTAACTCATGCTTCCAGAAGTTCAAATAGTGGAAAAGCTCACTTCTTAATTCAAAGTCTGGTATATTTTTAAAGCAGAAATGCTAGGAAAAAAAAAAAATCATTGAGGAATTCTGTTGTCACAAGCAATTTTTAATGTGAGATTTCAAGTGTATTTTGCAAAATTAATTAGAACCATGACTTTGAGCACACTCAAAAATCTGAACCACAACAACTTTTGCAAATCCATTTATATTCTATATACTTCCCAATGCAGTTAACAACTTTTCAGGAATAGTTCCATTGAATTAAACAGAATCAAATACAGAGTAAGTACAGTGTCATGTAGAGACTTTAGTAAGGTAGTTGTAGATGTGTCAATCAGTTGTGTTTTGCAAAATAAAGGGATGTGGGTTTGCTAATTGGATCCTCCTACACCTATTTGCTATAAAATATTTTTGTGCTGTTCATACTCCTTGCATAGAGCACTTGTAACAGTAACATGACAAACCTGCTGGTACTTTTGTCATCTTCCATTGCTTCCCAACTTTAAGAACTGAGCTTACATTTTTTCCAAAGCTAAATCTGAAGGAAGATGGACCTCTTACTTTACCTGGTCATAAAATCTGTGCCCAAGAATGATGCAAAAGCTCTAGGAAAAAATCTTTACTGCTTCATTGAGATTACCAGAGTCTGACTAGCTCACATCTTTTTGCAGATCTGGAAAGGAAACCTAAGAAGATAGCTATATTGTCCTCAGTTGGAGACATGAAAATGATTTCATGAGAGATAACCAATGAGAAATCAGTCACTTTCTTGTACAAGTAGGACAAAACTTTGTGAGACGAAAAGCATATTGGAGACTTAAAAGACCATAGGCTTCCTATAGTACCACCTAATCTGCACAAAGTGGGAGTTATGCAACACTCCTACAGTTATGTTGCTGCCTTCTCTGTTGTCTGCACTGTGGGGGTCCAGCTCTGCCCATAGCTGTGTGGTGTTGTCCTTTGTTTGATCCTGTGGAAGTGTGGGCAGCTGCTTAAGATGATCCAAATGTTGCCTAGTAACACTGCACAAAATAACTATTTGAATTTTCTCTATAGGGATTGCTTCCTTAAGGCTTGCTAGACTCAGGGAACACTTAAAATGTATGTTTTAAAAATGACTACATCAATATGCTTATCAACTCCTAACTTCTGATGTGAGGTAACAGTGAGGTTGGCCTTGTTATCTGCTATATTATGCTATATTATATGCCTTGTTATCTGTTATATGCTGCTTAAATGGGCTCAGCAGTGATATTCACTGCATCACTATCTGTGTAAAGTAAAATGTTGGTCATTTCATGTTACCCTCCTTGCAAAAAGGTGTTTGATCACTGCCTTTGTGATGAATATTCAATTATGCCGTGTAATAGCTGAAATTTTTTTCTCTTCTGAAATCCTTCATGTAGCAATTCCTTTGCCCACTAACTTGAAACACTGAAGAAATGACTCAAAATCTGAGGAAGCACCTGAGATCATCAGGTTGCTTTATGCTGGCAAGCTGTGATAACTGTCACATAGTATAGAGCTGTGTCTCAGAAACAAAATTGTATTAAACGTTTTGCCCTCTTTGTGTTACTAAGACCTGGCAGCTGATGTGAAATTGTGTTAAAGTACACTTAAGATAAAGCTTCTAAGCTGGCTGTAGTGACAAACTGAATTTTAAAAAAAGAGAATACGATGCAAGCTAATGGAAAAACTTCCTCCTGGTGTGATGAAGAAGCAGTTGAGACTGAAAAGCTTAAGGAGAAAGTTTGAAAGGTGGGTGATAACTAGACAAGGTTGCTGTACTTAAACAAAAAAAAGCCTTACAACTGCAATACTGCTTTATGCATGTGGATACACAGTCAGTGTTTTCTAATCCAGTGCTGTTATCAGACACCGACTCAATCCTGTCAGCAGCCAGGCCTCATCCTGCAGGGGAATTCTTGAGGTGGAGCCTCTGAAATAGGCCAGAACCTGCCTTCTGTCTGGTTCATGCAGCCAGATTTCCTTCTTGATGAGAGGAGGGGGAAAAAAAAGTTGCTCTTCAGCTATCTGTTGAGGATCCTAGTAACTGCTGTTCAAAAATGGCAGTGGCAAGCAGAAGTCAGCACACTTAAACTGGAAATGATGTATGAACTATAAATACTGTGGGTAAATGAACAACTGCAAGAAGTGAATGAAATGAGCTTTATCTCATGCTTTTATATCAAAACAAACTCTCCCTCTGAAGTCCTCAGCTATCAGGGTTGGTGTCTTCCTCCTCCTGAACTGAAGGTGTATGGTTTTCTTGAGTTGCAGTTGCAGAGCATGACCCCTGGCAGGTGCTGTTGTTAGCAGGGTTAAGGGGAAGGTGGCTCTGGAGAGCTGAGTGATGCATCAGGGTTGGCTCAAGGCAGCAGTGGCATAGCTCATTGCTGAACTTGATGCAAGCCGTGGGAAACTGCATATTAGTGTTATTCTGCTTTGTGCTTTGTCCTTTGCCATCTAGCCTGCCGCCTATAGAAACAGATGCTCTGCAGTTGGAAGAGTAGAAACTCAATACAGCTTTTTGAGACTGCCTAGTGCTTTGGTGTGATTTATTTGCATGCTAGAAGTCTTGGCCTCCAGTTACCAATAATGATTTGCTTCCAAAATGCAGAGCAGGGTGTTCAGCATCACGAAACAAGGAATGCTGTTGTCTGCTGGGGAAGCTGGCTAGGCAAAGCAGCTCAGGTTGTGTGTGTTCTGGATAGAAAGCAGTTTGTTACAGATAGGTTTCCTCTTCCTGGCTCTGATGGGATATGGTTGGATTCTGATAAGGATGCCAAAGCTGACTTTTAGCCCTTTTAGACTGTGGGTTCTGGCTGTGACCCTCCCTCAGGCCCTTTAGACAAGTTCAGCCTATTAGTGCAGATTATGTTTAAGCTGCCAGGCTTTGCCTGCTGTCACTATTTTCTGTGCCACAAAGAGCAGTCCTGCACTGCAGTCAGCATGAATCTCTTCTCATCATGCTTTCTTTGAAACAAGATTACCTTTGTTTCACTCGAGGGTGAAGAACCTGACCCTTTTGAATACCTGATGGTAACACTGACTTTCTCTTATCAGTTCTTTCAGCATCTTCAGCACTGTGTGACATTTCCCAAATGCTGTGCACATGGATTTACTAATATACCAAAGATGATACATTTCCTTGAGGAACTATTTTCAGCCCAGATCACAGTGCTGTTTTCATTTGCTAGTGGGTCTCTTTATTTCTTTGCCAAAATTCCTGCATGTTTTGGTTCTTATTTATTTTTCTAATGCTGGTTTCCTTTCATTAATCATTCTAAACCTATACAAAAGTGATTTTCCCTTATTAGAAGAAATGTCTTACAGGGCATGGACCTTACGTTGCTTCCTAAATACATTATAATCTCTTAATTAGGTTATATATTAAACAGCAAAATACTTGCTTAGATCACTTACTAGTTTGCCATAGACAGAAATAGTATCTGCAAGCTTAACCCTAGAGTCTGATTCTGGCTGATCATACAGCGCATAAATCACAAGAAGCCTCAACATAAACTGCTTTGTAATACCTCAGCATCTCAGCCCTGAAGGATCCTTCCCTAGAGGACAACTCAACACCTGGCTATGAATTATGAAAGGCAGAAGGATACCAGATAGATTAATCTGTCCCCTTCTTACCAAGCATAAAATGAGCTGATGAGTCCTGATTTATTTTTTTTTTTCCCCAGAACCTGGTGTGGGACCGTTAATTGGGATCTCTTCTGTTTCTGAAGACTTACAGTGTTCAAGAAACAACTGAAAGCCCAACAGGAGGGGCTGTGGGGCAAGTCTCAGGCCTTCTTATTGCACCCTGTAAGTCTGTGTCAATCTGTGAGTTTGGGGGCAATGGTGCCTTAGCAGGGTAGTCCCTGAAATGTCAGGAACCAGCAAAGGTCGAAGAGGCCACACTGCATTTTCTGGTTATTGTTCAGTTATCTGAGGTTCATGCACAGAATTTTGTAATGTAAAACTATGTTGCTTTTAAAATGCATCTCTTTACCCTGGAAGAGCAGGTAACTGGGGAGGGGAAGGAGAACTGCAGGGGAAGGATCACACACTTCCTGCATAGAGCTCCAGTGCTTCTTTGGGTTGTGCCTGCTGAGCACTGCACACAGCAATCAAGCATTCTCACTCTGGCTTTCAGGAGCAGAGAATACATGCTTCCAGCCAATTTAACTAGGAGGAACCTGTCTGCCAAGAGGAGTCACTTCCCTCCTTGGTAGTGTTTATGAAAATGCTGTTTAAATGGGGAAAAACAAGGGAAGAGCAAACATTCCTCAACCCACCCAGCGCTTCTCTGCAGCACGGCTGCTCCTGCTGCGTGGGCTCCCTCACGTGACAAGGTGGTGCTTCTGGGAGCTGTTATTTTAAAATATTGGCAGCACATCCTTGGGTGGGACCGCTCCATCTCATATCTTCTTACATTCTCCTCTATGATCTACTTTCCCTATTTTATACCTCTACTTATTCTGGCCACATGACCTACAGCAACATAATTCCTGCTTGTCCTCTGGGTGACTTTTCTGCAGGCTCTTGCATGGCTCTTGGTGTGCCAAAGACCATCACCAAGTTTGACATCTTTGTATCTTATTCTGATTAAACACTTAGTCATCTTCCATTGGCATAGGTGGCTTTCCACACTACAGAAACCCACCTGTGTGGGCCACAGCCTGTCAGGGTGTGTATGGAAACAGTGTTACTCCAAATGTGGATTGTCTGTGTGAGGCATGATACCTGTCCCCATGTACCCTTGTTCACCAGGTCTTGCTGTGTCTGGCACCTCAGTCTGATGCAGGCTCCTGCTGTGCATTTTGCATCAGTTTGCAGTGCACTGGACAGCAGCTTCCTTCCCTCTTATTGTTTGGGACAGTGCTTGCCTGTAGGGAGGAGCAGTGGCAGAGCTGTGATAAAGCATACGTATGCTTTCACATTGTTTTTTCACTGTCTTGCTGATTTCAATAGTAGTTAATGATATTTGCAAAGCTTCTTGCTGTTACATGGGGTCGTTCTGTTCCAGTGAGGGACACCCTCTGGTTCTCACTGGGTGTTCAGAAACAATGGATCAGACACAAAAGTGTTTTGTGTTAGCAGCTGTTTCTGTTGGCTGACCTGCTCCTGATAACATCTCCTCCTGCTGTGTATAAAGAGTGCTCAAGCTAAGAGCTCTGGTATCTTGCATGGTCAAGGTTTTGCTTTAGGGGTGTAGTGGTTTATTTTTGTAAGGAGCTTGAGGAGTGGTTACATAGCATTGAACTCTCCTATCCTGTTTATCATTTTCTAAGCCCAATTCTTCACCCAAAATGGGTTTTCAAGGTGTAGCATTGTGCTTAACTAACTACTAAGATAAGATTTGGCAATTGGCTTTCTGCCTCTGGAAAGAATTAGCTGGCATAGGAGTTTGAAAATGGAAATGACTTGGGGATAAACTACTTAGGCTAATTCACACCTCAAATAATACCATGGGCTAGTGGAGTTCCCGTACAAGTGGATTTGTCCTCTTTTTTTCCCCATTGCATTGCCTTATATTTGCTGGTATGTGACTACTGTAGCCAGGGAAGAGCTGAATAAGTTGAAGAAGGGATTGATGCTGTAGCTGAAAGCACTTTCTCAAAAGAAAATAAAGTGCTTGAATTTTCTTGTTCTTGTGTCTCTTGCACCATGTTTTGTTTGTGCTCTTGTCAGAATCCTGCACTTGCCTTTTTCTTTCTTTTTTTGCAGTGCTGGCAATGACCAAGAGGAAGGTAGAGAGAAAATTACTACTAAGGAGACCTATCTAAGCTAGATTGGGTATCTGCAACCCTAATTTGCAGTCATGTAGTTCAGGATAATCTAATTTAGTAGTCTGAGAACTATTGTTTTGCTTGAATCCCAGTTGTTTGCTTGAGGAGCTCAACTCTAGGCTGGACTAGAAACTCTGCTATACCTAAATGCCTTGCTCCTATAGTTCCTTGAATGAATGCTGGTGAGGAAGGCTGCAACAGCCCAGATGCCTACTTCTACTGACTTTCAGTAGGGTTTGAGTGCCTTTCTCCTAGGACTTTCTGTAAAATTGGATCTAAGCTAAGAGAGATAAGTAAACTCAAGTTGAGCAAAGCCTTACAGCATGCCCTAGCTAAGGGAGGGTGTTGAATATTTACAATGGAGTGATGGGCAGAAGATAAGGAGGACACAGTGCAGAGTCTAAAATGGCTTCCCTATTACTATAAAAGCATCTCTGAAAATATTACCAAAATTCCCAGTTAGTCACTTTGAGCAATCAATAAAAATAGGGCAGCCCTTTTTATTTGGAGTGATTGTCATCCAGTGTAAACTAAGAGGGCTTCTCTTTGTATGGGTATATCTACAAATGTTTGGCTACAGTGTTCAAAATAGATCTTTAAATTATGGGGGAAAACTTCGTAAGTTTTAACAAAGTTCTGCTTTCCATCTGCAGGCATTCTTGGCATATGCGTATGAAATGGTAGTTGAGCATCGTGCTCTGTGCCAGCCACTGTGTGTCTGTGAGCAGATGTTATCTAGTGGGATTCTGAATTAATTGGAAACACCAGCACCCTTAAAGACCCGTATCCTGTGAGACTGTTCTCAAATGTAATTAAATGCTGAATGCAGATGGGACTAGGGCTGAGAAGATGGGATTGCAGGGAACACAGTGGTTCCCAGCTTTGTGGCAAACTGTGCTGAAGTTGTCCCGGAAAGAATGTATTGGAGCACCTTTCTCAGAGAATTCTATAGAGTGTTGCTGACCCATTATTTCCAAAGCTGGGAACAGAGGAGCTGTTATGTCTTTGCTAGCTTTCCCAGCTGTGCTTCCTGCTGGAAGAGCTGGAGAAGAAAGAAAGATTCAGGAGGATTCCCTTTCAGGGGAGAACTCCCAGGCTGAGTGGACTTTTAAATCTGCTGAGAACTGAGCATCAGATGTCAAGCAGCCCTAATAGCTTCAGAATTGGATCTTCCAAAGAAGGTATAGAACAGCTGTTTTCTGAGAAGTGGTGTTAGAATACTTTTATGGATGTTCCTCTTCTGTAGATTTCAGCATATAGTCCCTGTGCATCCCATTGGGACTTAAGTATGTGGCTTGCAATTGACTATAATTAGCACAGTTAATCTATAAAGGTTTCAGGGCCTTATGATTAGTACTATCTCTTCACAGTAATGCTCTGCTGTCCTCAAAAAAAAAAAAAAAGATTTGTCTTTCTGACTGGGAGTATGATATGAAACTGTATCCTTTTTCAAGCTTCTTATCTGACTAAACAGTCCCTTTTCATAACTTATGTACTGCCTTTGCCTCCTCACATCTTCTATGGCCATCTTATTCCTAGCAGTGTCATTGGTAGCTAACCAAATGTATCACTTAAGAATTTCACCTTAGACTCTTCTTCCATCAGTCCCAGTGATCTCTTCTTTAATAAAAATGAACAACGTTGACTGAGTTGTTTCCACAAAGAATTGGAGAGATTACTGGCAGAAACAGTTGCTGTTTGTTCAAGTGGTCCTTCTGGCTTCTGGGACATGAGGAGCCCCCAGCAGTGCCTCTACATTCTTGCTCCTTGGATATGGATCTTTGGGATCAGAAAAGCTTAGCGATGGCTTGATAGTACGATGAGTAAACTACAGCGATGGGAGGGTTTGTCTGTATTGCAAAATGTTTGAACATCTGCAGATTCCAGAAGAGTGGTGAGAACAATGGAAATGGCATGACTAAGTATTGTAACTTTGTCATGTTTTGAACAGTGAGTCTTTTACGGAGTCCTTGAATGCAGATCGTGTGGATTAGAATTTTTATCAACCCATTTCTGTTCCTCTTAAAAAAAAAACAAAAAACAAAAAACACTGTGGCATTTATTCCAGCTAGAACTGCAGTAGTTCCCACTACTGCTGGAGGTGATCTTGTTCCATGAACAATATTTAAGCGTAGAAAATTCCTTCATGTTTCCTGATTGTTTGTTTGGAAAGTAGCTGTAAAACCACAGTGCAAGCCACGTAATTACTGTTGTAGCAAACAGCAGTATGATGCCCACATTTTCTAGGATTTAATTCCTGTAGACTTCTGATATTAAATGCTTTATAATGCAAATCAACACATGCTAGATCAGAGGTTTCCAAACAGGCTTAATGCTGTGACAATATGTGTGGTTATGTAAAGCCCACAGCGCATGGAGCTGACAGCTGCACCAGGCATTAGTGGGAACTGTGGTGGGCAGTATTTCTGGTGACTTCATTGGAGAGATGCTGTGCCATGTCCGGTCCAACTCCAGGATCTTCAGGCCAGTAAGTGTCATCCCACCTTTTGTTCTGGGAACTGCAAGAGAAATGAGCATGGGTCAGAGGGACTTGCCCAAAGCCAAACTGCCAGTGTGTAACTTACAGGGAGCTATAATACATGGTGGTGGGAGGATTGCAGTGCATCACATCTCCTCCTAGCTTATCTCTGAGACCCTTCATTACTGGAAGGGGGAAGGGAGCAGGAGGGATTGCTTCAAAACAATTCCTGCCCTGTTGCCCAAACCAGAGAGCGACAGGCACAGAATGAGGCAACATTTGGCTTATAGAGCTGCAGAGGTGCATAGGAACAAGCTGCCAGCACAAACCATTTGAAAGAAGGCAGGTTGTTGTTGAAGAATTTTTTGGGGCTGTATCAGTGCTAATGAAACAAAGCCATGCTCCTCTTTTAAAACAGCCTATCTAGGATTCCAGGTGTTCTTATGGTATCAAGCCTGATTTTGATATCAGCGTTGCTTAGGAAAGCAAGGAAAAGGCTGTCCCTGAGTGAACTCTTATCACTGTTGAGCAGATCCAGGGTCATCTCTTCTGGG